TCAGTGAGAAGGCAGCTCATATAACTGCTAATTATGTCATTACTGCATGGGAGGCTGGGCTCTGTTATGTCATGGGAATGTCTAGTGTTCTCTCTTTAAAATCAGCAGGATTAGATGTTTCCCAAACCAGTCTCACGGCGGGTTTTGCCCCTGAGAACTTGAACTTTATTGTAGAAATAAAAAGAGGCCTCTAGTTTTGCTTTTATGTTCCTGCCTCAAACACCTGTTGCATACAAAGCTGTCCACTGGTTTCAGACAGAACAGGAAGCATGTGTGAGATGGCAATGTTGCCATGAGGGTCCTGGGCCCAGAGCAGGGAGAACAAGCACGCTGATAGCCTGTGATGTGTATAGAGAAACAGATTTCTATCAGTGGGAAAGGCCTCTCCCACAGCGCCACTGTGTCAGTTCCAGCCAAAGCAGGGTCCCAGTGGCCAATCCTGCCTCTGCTGCCCTGCCTTTAGGCCGAGACCAAGGTCTGGGACCTTTCAAGGCTCTTCCTCTCTGCTTGGCTTTTTTTCCTGTCTGTGTGTCTGTGTGCATCTCTTGCTTTCTTCCCTGCCTTCTCCTACACACATCTGTATATCTGTGTCCTTTTGTTTCATGTGAACATGGATGAACTTTTCATTGTTTAAACAGACGACTCACCCACATTTCTCTCTCCTGTTATGGCTCTGCAACACCACTTGTGTCCCTTCCCTGGAATCCTCTCCTCCTCCTCCTCCGTCTCTTCTTCCTCTTCCTTCTCTTGATTTTTCTTCTGTTCCTCCTCCCAACCCTCTTCCATACCCCACTCCTCCCTCCTCTTCTTCCTCCTCCTCTCTTCCTCCTGACCCATCCTCCTCCTTTTCTTCTTGCTCATTCTCCTCTTTCTCTCCTCTTTCTTCCTGTCCCTCCTCATCCACCTGATGATCCTTTTCCTCTCCTCCTCCTGCTCATTCTCCTCTTTTTACTCCTTCTACTCCTCTTCCTGTTCTCTGGCCCCCATAGTTCCATGGTCATTGGTAATGTAATCACTGTTGGAAATGATTTGACTTGATTTCCATAGCTGCTTAGGTGTGGTTTGGTTGCTGTTTGTTGCAGGATTTTCTTTCCTCCTCTCTGAGACATGCAGGGAGTGGGCCCTCAAGCATAGGCTCCTCACTGAGACCCCTACAAATAACTCCAGAAGAGCGTTTCGTCCCAACAGGTGCATAAACTGCAACCCAGAAATGTAAGAACCTAAGAAAAGCAAGAGAGTAGGACCACTCCAAAGGTCACAGCCCTTTGGAAAATAATCCAAATACGCTGAGGTTGATGAAACGCCAAGAATGCAAAACACTGGCTAGAAGGCACCAGCAACTCCAAAGATACAGATGACTGAAGAGAGGGAGTAGATGAGAAAGCCAGAAGCCTGGATAAAAAATTCAGAGAGAAAGTAAAGGTTTTAAAGAAAAACCAAAGAGAGAAAGAGAGCGAAACTAAAATTTTAGAAATGAAAACCTCAATAAATCAAAACAAAAAATATCAACAGTAGACTAGATCAAGCTAAAGAGAGACTCTCAGGGATGGAGGACAAGATTAAGGATACACTGTACTCCAACAGCAGTAAAGCAAACAAAACTAAAAATGACCATAAGTGTGCCAGGCTCCAGGACCTGAGCTAGAGATCAAAAGCAATAATCCATGATGTAGATACTGAGATAAAAATGAAAGGCTCCAGAGTCCACATTAAGGGGGGGGGGGGGGGGACATGGTGGCGGTGTGACACACACCTTTAATCCCAGCACTTGGGAGGCCAAGGTAGGTAGAGTTCTGTAAGTTTGAGGCCAGTCTGGTCTACAGAGTTCCAGTGTAGCCAGGGCCACACAGAGAGACCCTGTCTTGAAGGGGTGGGGGGAAAGCCAAGCACAATGGGAGGCAGAGACAGGAAGGTTCCTGGCCCTGTTGGCCAGCTAGCCTTGCCAAACCAGAGCACTCCAGGCTCAGAAAGAAACCCTGTCTCAAAACTAAGATGAAAGTAAGGAAGACATCCACTGTCAATCTCTGTCCTCTACATATACATAAATGTCTGTCACCTGCGCACATACATCCTTACACACACGAGAGCGCACACACACACAAACACACACACACACTCTTGTGCACACACTCACACACAAACACTCACACACACACACACACACACACACACACACACACGTGCCTGCAAACATCATGCCTCTCAAAAGGAACTCCAAAAGCCAAGTAAAGAAATTAAAGCAGATAGAAGATAGGAAGACCACAAATGCAGAATCCATGCCTGAAATGGTTCTATCACCCAAAGCAGTCTACAGAGTCAGTGTAATCCCACTCAAAATTCCACTGACATTCTTCACATAAACAAACAAACAAACAAAAGTCCTAAAACCCACACAGACACACAAAGGCCCAAACATCCAAAGTAGTCCTAAACAAAAAGAATATTGCTATATTGCTGGAGCCATCACCATAACCAACTTCAAACTGTACCGTAAAGCCACAGTAACCAAAAGAGCGTGACACTGGCACAGACAGGCATGTTGAGCAGTGGAACAGATGAACAGACAAGAAGCCCTGGAAATACACCCACGCAGCTACAATCACCAAATATTTTACAAAGGAACCCAAAACAGGAACCGGAGAAGAGACAGCGTCTTCAAGTAGTGCTAAGAAAACTGGATACCATGTGTAGAATGGCTTTCATCAAGAATACAAAAAAAAAAAAAAAAAAACCAGACATTATGGTGCAAGCCTTAAGGCACAGGCAGGTAGATCTCTGTGAGTTCAAGGTCAGGCTGGTGATAGTTCCAGGCACCAATAGCTACATAGTGAGACCCTCTCCAAAAGTAAATAAATAAATAATAACAACAATAATAAAACAAGCAAAGATAAAAATAATATAAACACTAATGTGAGTTCCTTCAAAAATGTCTGAAAGAGAACCGTCTGGCTACACCACCCCTATACCTACATTTGAAAGGCTCTAAGTCCATGTCACGGACAGGGTCCCTGCACATCCATGTTCACAGAACTACCTTCATAGCAACCAAGATAGTAATCAGCCTAAGTCCATCTGTGTCCATCAACAGACCAGATAAAGAAAATGTGGACCACACACACAACAAAGTTTTACTTGTCTGTAAATTACAATAGTGTGCCATTGACAGGAAACAAATGGAACCCATGTGAAGCAAGATAAGCCAGACGAGAGATGAGAGATGAGTGCTGTGTTTTCTCTGATATGAAGAAATTAGATTGTTTTAAAAGTGTGTGGAATAGAAGGTCGTTATTTGAATTAAGGAAGAGGCCAGTGGGAGGAGAAAGGAGGAACAAATGAAGGTGATGGGGATGGTTATGAGGAAATTAAAATAACAGACACATGAAGGGAGGGGAAAGGATGAGAAGGGGCTGGTAACAGATGAGAGTGTGGTCACTCTATCTGGACACAGGCAGGACGTCTGCCCCTGAGCACCAGCTGTCCCTGCTGCTGTTTGTGGTTTTTGTCTCTTGATGGGGTGTCTCGATACCCAAGGGCAGGACAGAGGCCAACCCTGAGCAACCCTGCCCCCTGGGCGGGCTCCTCAACCCATGAGCTTTACTTTAATATCAGCCCCACCGATTAGCGGCTCCTCTGCTCTGTGCTCCGGTACTTTAGGGACCAAATTCTTTCCTGGCTCTGAAAGGCAGGTGGCTTCTTTACCTGCCTGCCAAGCTGTGGTCCTGGGACTCCTTCTCTAGGCCCCTGGGCATCTGCACAGAAGCCTGCACCTCTTGCTTCAGCTGTCTCTCCTGGTGATCAGGGAACTCCAAGCACCTGCAGTCTAGCAAAAGCCTGTGGGAGGAGGGCCCCAGCTTTGCCAAGCAGAGCACAGGGCTCATCTAGGGTCAGAGACTGACTGGGGTCTAACTTGATAGAGTTTGAGCAGTTGTCTTAAGTGGGGCCTTCTGGAATGTGGTCTTTGTGTCTCCCTTGCTCACTCAGGCCATCCTTGTAGCAGGTGTTGGTGCCTCGTTCTTTCCCGTGGGTGGAGGGGAGCATAGTATTTATTCATCTGTGGGCTGAGAATGCATGTTTTATAATCTTCTTTCACCCAATAAATGTTTGTGATAGGCAGAAATGCCAGCTCCAAGACCAAGGGACAGCACCACTATTCATGACCCTCTGTCTGCTGGGAAGTGGAGGACTGTCACAGGAAGGAACACTCATGAGAGTGTGGGCAAATCCAGCCAGTGCTGGGATGTAACGCTGGCTGCTGGTGGGAGATTCCTGGGGGAGAGGGTTCTGAGCCCAAAACCATCAGAAAGCGTTAGTGGCCGGAAAAAGGAGACGGATAAAGGAGGAGGCAAGGAGAGAGCATGCCACTGTGTGCAAGACAGCATCCTCCTCCACATGGCTGCAGCAATGTCAGAGCAAGGAAGTGGCCTGGGGGTAGGGGACAGGGCTGGGAGGGCTGCTTGCAGCCTGCTACAAGGTGGCACTTTGTCCTATGGGGACAAAGTCAACAAGGAACTTCAGGACAGATGTCTCAGGGCATCAGTTGAAGGGAGTCTTAAGATTGATCGTATCTGTGCCTGAGTCCCTTCAGGAAGGACATAGAGGGAGGCCCTGAGTTGGACAGTATATGAGCAAGGGTCCTATCAGATGACCGAGATAAGAAGAGAGTAAGACCTCAGGAAGTGCTGGAGTCAGGACCTGTGGCTTGGCACCATTTGTGTATGAAAACAGGGAGGGGGAGCAGTCAGGATTGGTGGCACAAAGGTCGTGCGGTGTCCAGGGCTGTGGACACACAGTGATTGGAGAGCCACCATGCAGAGAAGTGCCTGTCCTACAGATGCCTCAGTAGCCTGGCCACCCATGCTTCCAGTACCAGCTGGGGAACTTCCCTGGTGGACAGGGCAAGATCCTCAGCCCTGTCAGACACAACCTCTGCACCTTTTGGTCTGGTCTTGACAGATAAATTGCACCTGTAATTAACAAGAATATTCTTCTGCTCTGAACAGGAAGAAGATGAGGAATGGAAAATGTCACCAAGTCTTTTCCTTAAATTGATGGAGGAAGGAAACAGCTCATACAAAGGTCAGTCTCATAGAATACCTGGTACTCAAGGGGTCACCCTGTCTGCCATCTGTGGCCAAGCTCCAGTGCGTAGACAGGCCTTAGACCAGCCAAAACCTGTCCCTCTCCAGCAACTTATGCTTCCTCAAAGCATAAGTTGGTGTGGTGGCTACTGTCCTAGTTTAACAAAAACAACCTGGGAAAGAAAGGGCTTCTTTCAGCTTACAGTCTGCCATGAAGGGATGTCAGGGTAGGCACTCAAGTTAAGAACCTGGAGGCAGGAACTGAAGCACAGACTTTGTAGAAACACTGCTTACTGGCTTGCTGCTGATGGCTGCTTCAACTTGCTTTCTTATAGAACCACCTGCCCAGTGGTGGCCCCGCCCACAGTGAGCTGGACCCTCCCACATTAGTCATCAACCAAGAAAGTGCCCTCAGAGACTTGGTTACAGGCCAATCTGATGGAGGCATTGTTTTTAAACTAAGACTCTCTCTTTCCAGATGACTCTAGCTTATGATAAGTTGGTAAATTAATTAGTTAATTATTAATTAATTAATTGAAAATAGAGTAACCATCACAGTTAGTTTTTTATTTTCAACTTGACACAACCCAAAATCACCTGGGAGAGAATCTCAAAGAACTGTCTAGATGAGGTCAGCCTCTAAGCATGTCTCTGAGGGATTGTCTTCTGTTCTTGATGTGGGAAGCCCAGCCCCTTGTGGGTGGCACCATTTGAGGCCCTGGACTATATAGAAGCTGAGATGGCTAGCTTGGTGACAGCAAGAAGGCAGCACGGGTGATTTGTTTCTCCCTGCTGCTGACTATGGGAGTGATGTGGCCATTCAGTTGAGCTCCTGACTTGGCTTCCCTACAGCAAGGCACTGTAGCCCAATAAACCCTGGTTTTTTCAATCGGGGCATTTGTCACAGCAACAGAAATGAAACTAGGAAAACTGAGGACAGAGACACACGCAGGCTAGAAATGTTCTAGAATTTTCCCCAGTTTTGCGCACCTCAGCTGACCATGCTCTTGCTTAGTGGCATGAAGAAAGGAATTACATTAAGGAAATGAGATCCACGGGTACAAATCTTAATCCTCTCAGACAAAGGCCAGTCTCAGTTCTGACAATCGCTTTGTTCGTGGTTCAGTCCCATTAGTGTAGCCAGAACCTGGCAAGGTGAGAGCAGATGGGCTCCGCCCTTTCTCCCATCTCCATTCTAAGTTGCCAGGACTGTTATCCAGCTTCCTAGCCTCACTGCGCCCTCGGGATAAACCTTAAAGGATGGGTGGCCAGTGAGGCCCTGGGCCCTGGTGTGTTGTGGAACTTCCTGGGAAATGTAACAAGGCCGTAAAGGGGAACATTATCAAATGTAGTTAATCACGGACTTCCTTCCCAACCTGAGTCTGCTCTGGACAGCAGCGGGTCAAATAAATAAGAGACTGATAGGTAGGTAGATATATAGATAATTTAATGTTGATTCAAAGTGTTTATCCCAGTAAATTGAGTTATATCCTTAACAACAAGTTCACTATAGTTACAAGTTCATTTGCTAAATATATTCTAGCAGGAACCCTGCTTAGAGACCACTAGAGGTAGGGCCGTACAGGGAACTCTGGGAGAAGCCACAAGTAACGGAGACTCTGTCAGCATATGGCACCTAAGTCCGTTGAGGAGGAAGGACATCAAAAGGATCAACTAACATTTACCAGGTGCCCAAAGCATGCAAAGACAATTTTTTTCTATGCCCGTGTCATTCAGTCTTCACAGGAATCAGGAAGTGAACATAGCCCCTTGTCACAGTGGACCGTTGGGAAGCCCTTTACAGTCCGAGAATTCATTCAAGTGTTTACATGCAATGAAGCACAGTATGCCACCAAAAACATCCACCCATCCGCATATTCACTTGGCAAACTCTGACTGTCCCCACCATGTCTGATGCCATGTTGATCTGGAAGCAAATATGTGTCAGTCCTCGATATGCCCGCAGGGCATTGCATGTTGGATTGGCAGATAGGGAGGGCCCCCGCTGGGTAGTTACATGAATTGGGAGGAAAGCAGAGGTGTGCCCTGAGCAGGCAGGACCTTTGGCAACCCACTCAGCAAGTCCAGGTCTAAACACGGTTCTATTGATATACCTGCACGCACGCACACACACACACACACACACACACACACAAACGTGTGTGTGTGTGTGTGTGTGTGTGTGTGTGTGTGTGGACAAGAATGATGACTGGCAAGACACTGCACTGCAGTCTTGGTTTGGGGCCTTTCTACCAACTTGACTGTGCTGTGTGCTTATTGCCTCCCACCAGCCTTCAGGATGGTTTCCACACAGAGGAGCCCAGTAATGCCACATTCATTTTCTCCTGGGCCCTCTGCTGGGAGCCCTCCACACCCTCACAACCACCATGGGCCCTCCCTGGTCTCTACTCACTGCCAGCCCCACTCTTGACTCCTCTCCCTCACCTTGGTGGCACCACCATCCAAGCTATCCTGAGCAGGAGGGACTTCAGGTGTGTAGGGCCGGTGCACATTTTCACCCTCAGAGACCGGAAGAGCTGACTCCGCCCTTCCCTTTTCCCACAACTATGCAGAGAAGAGGAGGGCAGAGGAAGACAAATGGGGGAGGAACGCCTCCCTCATAACGCTAGGCACTCGGAAGCTCCCATCAGAACGTACCAAGGAATCATGGCGCGCACTGTGCAGAGCTGAGAGAGCAATCTGTGCGGGAGCTGAAGGCGCTCTGAGGCCACAGAGTCATCTCCCACTGACACTTGTCTTCCCCCGGCATGCGCAGCACACCCCCACAGCAGCAGCATGCCCCCTGCTCCCCTTGCTCACAAGGCTTGTCCCTTCAGCCCTAGTGCCAGGATTGCCTGCCTTTGGGCTGCTGCAGAGCTGTGGGTCTTCTCCCCACCTGAACCCCGTCGCCCCTCTGTACCCAGCTCAGATGCCAAGTAGTGGGTGTGTGGCTTCCCACAGTTGGGGCCCAAGTCCCACAGGGCAGGACCTGTCACCTACTTGCTCTGGAAGTGAGGCCTGGTCTGAGACTGATCAAGCCAGCAGCACCATAATTAACACAGAATTTACTTTCTTTGTGAAAGAATGAATAGAGAAATGAACACACCAGACAGAGGCAGATGGCACAGAGTCAGTTTTCACTGTCATTTTTAAACATGAGTGCAAGCAGTTTGTGTGCGTGTTTCTTTTTGACAAAAAGCAAAAACGAATTCGTGTGTGTGTGGGGGGGGGGGGGAGATTTGGTATTCCCATAGGAAGCCGGGTCTTGCAACTTGCAAGACCCACTGAAATCCAAGAAGCAGGGAGAAGCCTCAAGTGCCTGCTAGTTGGAGGCCTTGGCTGTCATCTCCCAGGTCTGCAATAACTTAAAGAGGGCTCTCTTCATCTTAGAATCCTTTTCATTAAAATCAAAGGTTTGCCTTCTCCAATAATACATTAGCATTTTAATCACTGAGATTAAGGCCCCTCCCAGCCCTCTTCACCGAACCACCCTCCCCTTCCCTTCCATGTGAAAGGGCCCTGGCCTGCTTTTCACAGCCTAGGGATAAAAAGCTCTTTCTGGCTGCGGGAGAGTGAGGGCAGTGAGTGGCCTCTGAGGGTCCCAAACAGCTTCCTGTATTTACAAATGCCCATGAAATTCCTGAAGGGATTGAAAAGTGCCCTGGCAGAAGTGTCATGAGAAAGCAACTTTTCGATGGAAAAATCAGCCCATTGAGACCTTGTAGAGGGGAGATCAGACGGCTTCTTGTGGGGAGCCCTGCTATGAAGCTTAGCTCCAGTGTGTGAACCTGTTACTGTGACTCTTAGGGGAATACTTGTGCTGTGGTCCCTCCTTGTTAAATATTCCACGATCCTTCTGCTATTATTGAAAGCCTTGTTCTCAGAGTCTAGCAATGCTAAGTGAGTCCCTGCAAATAGCAAAACAACTTTGCCCCCTGATGTCTTAATGTAACAGGTAAACTTTGTGGTGGCTGAAAACTTACCAATCCTGCAAGCTGGGAAGTTATCATTAGTAAATGACACTTTATAACACATTGAAGCTCTTTTTACTATTGTCAGGGGAAAACAGATTTTTTTTTTTTTTTTTTAACACAGAGAAGGAATCCAGTGAGCCAGACATGGCAGTCAGTCTTGGTAACTTAAAGGCTAAAATAGAAGACCTCTAGGTCATTGAGAACATGTCTCAAAAAAAGAGGCATCTATAAGCACTGCATTTAAACTGTTCTACATTTTAGAAGAATGTGTACTTCAGAAAATGAGCTTACTAAGAATGTTTTTATTTATTCCTTGATGCTTTCATATATGTATTCAATGTATTTTGATCATCTCGACCCCACCTCTCCCTCCCACTCTCCCTACTTCCCTCAGCAGGAACCCCTCCCACCTTCACAGTCTCTCTCTCTCTCTTTTTTTTTTTTTCATATTCTGCTGAGTCCAATCAGTGCTTCCCACACACCCGCTGTGGGAGCATCCACCAGAGCATGCGTGGCCACAGCAGCAGTACCCCGAAGAAACATGACAGCCCCAGCAGCCATGCGCTTCCAGTAGATCCTGGTTAGGAGTGAGGTTTAGTGAGCCACCTCCCCACCCATGCTGAAAAGCTCCCTGCCTTGATCGTGCATAGGCGAACACAGCTGCCGTGAATTCATGGGCGCAATGGTCATATCATGTCCAGAAGCAAGAATTTCATCTCTGTCAGCCCCATCTTCCTGCTCTTACATTCTTTCCTCCCCTTTTCCCACAATGTTCCCTGAGCCTTGGTGGGATGATTTAGATATTGAGAGATGAGCACTCACGTATTCTTAGCACTTTGCTAACACCTTCCCATTCAGACAAAAGCTTCTCTCACCACCACAAATCTAAGGGTATAGACATAACTGTTTAGGAGGCGGTTTGACACATCCATTATCAAGACAACAGTGGCAGAGTCCCACAGGGCCTATGACTTCCATAGCCATGGCTTTTAATCAGCTCTACAGTTTCAAGCATGAATTTCTTCCTGGGGAGCAGTCCTCAAAGCCAATCAGAAAGTGGTCGGTTGTCTCACAATAGCGACGCCACTGGTACGCCAGTGGGCACATCTTGCCTTGCAGCTTGCAAAGTTCAACTCTGGGTAAGACCATTTGTGACTTTTCTTCCCCAAAAGCTACATAGTACCATCTAGCTCTGTGAAAGCTAGAGGAAACTTCAACTTTATTTCCATATGGCTTTAACAATAGAGTCTTAACCATATCGTTACGATGGGCAACCAAAAATAATGGTCATAGCCTGTGTTGCTTTTAGGGTGTCTCTGGAGCTTCTACCAGAAGACACATGCCATTAAATGAAAACCACACTGTTAAGTGTGGGATAGTTTTCTATAAGAAGTTGTTGGTCAGTGAAGCTCCAGAGACACTTTTTTTTTTTTTTTTTTGCCAGACTTGTTCCCTGCTAGACCAGATGATGCTACACCATGAACTTCATTCTCAACAATTTTATCACCTTCAAACTAACTTTCTTCCAATGGTACCACTCATCTCCTCCCCCTCCCCCTGCACCCACCCTGTGCCCTGTCTAGGGGAGGACACATGGAAGAACTGGGTCTATGAAAAATCACCAGTTTGAAAGATGAGGGTTTTTTTTTTTTTTCCTGATTCTTACAAGTCCACATTGTGCCTTTTCAAGCACTTGCCTCCCGTCTAACACTTGCAGGCTTGCCCACATATCTTGGTGTGGAGACTATGGTGTGGTAAGATGAGTACTCTGATAATCACCCAGCTCAGCTCTCTCAGGCAGGACGTAGGGAGCTGTGTGAGAACCCTCGCTGGTGCTGAAATCTGCCAGGTTCCGTCCCAGCTAACATCTGCTGACCTCAGAGTTTGACGAGGAAGGAAAGCGGACCATGCTGGCATCCACTGCTTTCCCACAAATGACCATGTAGCCACTGGTGTGATGTCTGTAGCTCGCACACCTGACACACACTTTAAAAACTAGGCCTTGTGTCTATGTCTTACTGAAGCTCTTCTTTCCCAAGGGGTCTTGTCTCAGACTTCCCCGGAAAAACAAAACGGTCATCACTAACATATCTTTGTTTTCACATTATATTATCTCTTTTGTTAGGATAGCACAGGGCAGGTCTATAAATCCCATCACCCTCTAGCTGTTTCTGTTCCAGAAACAGGAAAGATTGGTGTGTGCTGAGATCACAGCTCTCGTTAACCTAGATATTGAACATATTTTTTAATTTCCTTTTTCTCTGTCTGTGGAGTACAGATGTGTGGCTGCACAAAGATGAATCTTGGAACTTCCCTCAGGACTATGACCCAGAGATTATCAAGGAGGAAAAGCGGAGGGAGTTAGAGTCGGAGATAAGGGTGCAGGTACGCCCACATTTACATCTAGGAGGGGAAAAGCCATTTGCTGCAATGATTACACTTTTCTTCAGTTTCCAAATTGAGGCACAGTCCAAGAATTTACCCCTAAGGAAACACAAGGCACATGAAGTCACCTAAAAGTGGTGTATTTACTCCTAGGTTGATGAACTGATGAGACAAGAGCTGAAAAACCTTAAGCTAGCTGTGAACAAAGAGATTGAACTGCCAGGCAAGGCAAAGAAAGCAAAGAAGGTACGTATTTAACAAGCCGAGACGGCAGATTCAGCCACCGACAGCCTGTTGGGGCCGGTTGCACCCAGCATGTCCCACATTGTGGCAGGGTTAATAAGAAGCCCCCCCAGCCAGGTGTGGTGTGGCACGCCTATAATCCCAGCACTCAGAAAGGCAGAGGCAGGCGGATCTCCGTGAGTTCAAGGCCAGCCTGCTCTACAAAGTGAGTTCAGGATAGACAATGCTACACAGAGAAACCCTGTCTTGAAAAAACAATCAAAAAATGGCCCCCATAGGCTCATATAGTTCAATGCTTGTTCATCAAGAATGGTGCTGCCTGGGAAGGATTGGGAGGTATGACCTTACTGGAGGAAATGTGTCACTTGGGGGTGGGCTTTGAGGTTTCAGAAGTCCAAGCAGGCCCAGTGGCTCTCTCTTCTGCAGCCTGTGGATGTGGATATAGAATTCTCAGATGCTCCTCCAGGATCATGTCTGCCTGTGTGCCATCATGTTCCCTGTCATGATAATGAACTAAACCACTGAAGCTGTAAGCAAGCCCCAACTGGATGCTTTCTTTTATAAGAGTTGCCTTGGTCTGGTGTCTCTTCATGGCAAAAGAACACTGACAAGCATCCCTGCTTTGGCTGACTTCACTGTTCACCACCCAGTGCTTAACTGTATGACCTTTAAGTGGGAATAACCCAGCCATCTGAGGGAATCTTCCCGGGACCTCCATTACAGGTTAATCTCACCCAAGCCCTACAGAGGATGGGTGCCACCAGAAGGCTAGAACAAATGCCCCCAATCCGTCTTCTCCCATCTGCTCCCATCGTGAAAGCCAGTACCAGCAAGCAGGGCTGTGAGTGGGAGAATCAGACTGAAAGGAACCGGATGAGTCAACTCTTAAATTGCCACAAATCCATCCCATGGTGGTTTAAGCATCCTTAAGTTGGACTTAAGGGTGTATAATAGTTTATTCCTTTAGCCTCCTGTCTCCACCTTCATTCTACAAGTCAGCCCTGCGACTGGGCCAGAATGCTCAAAAGAGAAATAAATCCAAGCTTCTTCCTTGGTGGTGTTATCAAAGGCACAGGAAACTGGTGGTTTGGAGACACTAAGCCACCCTGCCTATGACTCACAAGCTCAGCTTCACTGTGTTGAGTCTCAGCATCTCAGGGGACACACAGTCTTAGGAAACCTGTCTTGGTCCATTTTGTGCTGAACATAAGGCCATATGGCAACTCTGAAGTCAGATTGTCTCAGAGCTCTGTTATGAAGATACAACTCACTGGCCTGGCGCAGTCCTCTTGTCTTTACAGGAACATCTCTTCATACCACTTTTCAGCTCCATGCGCGTCTTTATCTGTGAAAAGGGGGTGTGTTCGTGACCAGACATGGAAACTAAGCTGATCACAGTAGGTGCTACATATTGGAGGTGGCTGTAACCTCCTCTCAGGTGCCAGGTTTCCTCCACCTCACCAGCCATGCCCAAGGTCACATCAGTCACATCACTCCTCTGACCCCATCTCATTCCCTGCAGTCTAGCACCTGCAAGATGCCCGTGTCACAACAGGTGTCAGGTGCTCTCAAGAGATTGCTGACAATTATGTAGCTACAAGAATTTGCACAGGCTGGTCCGAGCCCTGGTGACCTGACGATGACCTTCAGGGTGAGCTAAAGCTTAGCGAGAGCATTAGCCGGGGAAGGGACACAGAGGGAAGGACAGCACATCATGTGACAGTTTCCTGCACTTACTGGAGATGGCAGCTTAGACCTTACCCAGCATCCTGAGTGGTATCCTCCTGAACACAGTCTGATTTGGACACTCCTCATTCACATTCTCCAGTGGCATCTCTGTCTCCCAGGAAGAAATGAGAGCCTTCCTCTGGGAGGCGTCTGGAAACCCCGTAGCGGCTCTTGTCTCTGCGTATACATGGCACTCTGTGCTGTGTCCTATTTATGCTTCATAACTAGTGGGTGTTACACTTGCTGATGAGACCATGTTAATATATTTCTTATACTTCAGGGTAACAATGTAGGAATGAGTAACGGAAGGAATTGGTAACCTCTGGCTCAGAGAAAACCCACAATGTATATTATTGAATGGATGAATTGTTAAGCCTAGCTCCTATAGGGATTTGTCTCTATAAACTACATGAGTATTTCAGAGTAAAACACTCTGGACTCCAGGAAAGTGAAAGAGAAAAAAAAGTTAGTAAAAAAAATTAATTAATTTAAAAAATAAAATAAAATTCCAACAATAATAGAGGAGGGAAGACTTCTAAGCCAGAACCAGAAAAAGACACCAGAAAAAAGAAAACGAGGTGTCAATATCCTCACTAATGCACAGACATATCATCAACAAAACACTAGCAAACTGAATTTGCCAGCACTTAAGTAGATTTTGCTCCAGGACTGTACAGTGCAAGGATGGTTCAACTCACATAGATAGGTCTCTGCGCCCCACCACATTGACAGAACGGAATTAAAAAGTCTGAATCGTTCATTGTTATAATCAACTGCTTTGGTCCATGTCATTTCAGAAACATGGGGAAAGTATGTGACATAGTTGAATATTCTTTCACGAGAAAAACTCTCAACAAGTTAGATATAGAAGGAATTTACCTCCACACAGCACAGCTGTGTTAACATTATGCTACGTTCATAAGAGGATACAGACGTACAGATTGGCAGGCAGACAGACTGACAAGCAGACAGGTGGATGAAAAGGATAGAGGGCCCAGGTAGCCCTGTGCACAAATAAACTGATTTTTGCAAAAGCAACTCAAAGGAGAGAAAAGGCCTCAAGGACTTATGTGCTTGTTTGTTTTAACAAAATCATCGCTTATTTCCACTTTCTTTCAGCAAGGTAAAGGGAAGAAGGGCAGGAAAGGGAAACGGGGAAAGAAGGATAAAGACCTGACGGCTGACAGGTGAGGAGTGGGTTTGTTTGGGGGTAACAGATGTGGGGAGTAGAGAGCAGAGAAAATAAGAAATGCAGAGATGCACCCTAAGTTCTGGAGCAGCCTAGGGTGAGGCAGCCACTTTCAGCCCTACCATGATCTTCCGGGACAGAGTATGGGGCATGGTGGGCACAGGGGGAAACTACCCTATACAGACTCTAGATTGGAAGAAAAAAAATTTACAACAAGACTACCTGCCTGGAGGTGAAGCTGCCCATCACATCTGAGTCCCTGTAAGCTTTGAAAATTCTAATACTTATATAGAACTCAAGGGTTAGGTAATGTTTATTTAAAAAGGGCTTAAAAAATAACATGAAACTTCAGAACATGCAAGCTTGAGCTCCTATTGGCTGAGGAAGCCTCACTTCCTTTGCAGCCTCACCCTGTCCCATGGGCACTTCTCCCTGCCACCTGAGAGAGCTGCTACAGAGATGCAATGCAGCTGAGTCTCCGAGGGCTTGTTTGCAATCCTTGAGTTTCATTAGCCCAAATTATAGATGGCTTGAAATGCTTGTGTTTTGTAAACTCAGCACGTAGGCTTTTGGACAATCACCTTGTCGGTGAGTTCAGTTAACACGCTACCAGGCATTATTCTGAAGCATCCTTCCCTTACCATGGATTTGGCTCATAGTAGACATGAGTGACATTCATTGAAAAGAAGCCCACCTGAATTTTCTCAGAGTCCCTCTGCACTCACCCTGAGACAGCCAGAGTAACCCACAGCTGGTGTGTTCTTGGAAGCAGCCCCACCTTGAGGTCACATTGTTTGACTGCCTGGTGCCTATAGGGCTCCTCAGGTGCATTTGGAGACTCCAATGCCCCCATTTATGGAAAGACAGACATCTGTCATTGCTTGAATGTTAAAACTGCCCAGGACAGAGATACGTGGTTATGTTGAGAATCTGCTGAGGCAGACCGAAGAGTCACAGGTATTTCAGAAGCTTTTGCGTAGTGTTTTCCTGCTTTGTTCTTGCCTTAATTTCAAACAGTGAAGTAATGAGAAACGGAGAGCTAACGCTGGGTCTCCTGATAGGACCCTGCTCCTAGTTAAAAGCATTCACCCCCATTCCTTTGCACTGAAAGTATCACCAAATACAATGGTGCTGACCAGCATGTTTGCATATAGACAGTGGACAATGATTGATAGACACTGAAGGTGTTCTGGGATATTTCCTGGTACTTGAATCTGTCATAAATAAGTCAGAAGCAGTTTGTTTTAGTTTCCTTTCTGATACTGTAATTAAAAAAAAAACACTCTAACCAAAAACAATTTAGGAGAGAAGAGGGATATTGTAGCTAAAAACTTCAGGTCAGAGTCTATTACTGAGGGAAGTTGGGACAAGAACTCACGGTGAGCCTGCTTGCTGTTCCACACAGCATTACCTCCACCCAAGGAGTACAGGAGGGACTGTGGAGTATGCTGATTGCTAGCTGGCCCCTTCATTGACTCACGCTCAGGCAGCTTTCATACAGTATAGGACCACCTACCTAAGGAATTGTGCCACCCACAGTGGGCTGAGTTCTCCTACATAAATTAATAATAAAGACAATTCCCTACAGGCAAACGTACAAGTCAGTCTGATCTAGATGACCCTTCAGTTGAGACTCTCTTCTCCAATGACTCTTAAGCTTGTCATGTGGAAGATCAAAGCCAACTGGAACAGAGCTCTCTGGTGAAAAGACTCATCTTTTCCATTCATTTCAATGTTCAGAAATACAAATCCACCGATAGCCACCTCATCCCTTCAGCTTTAATCCTAAAGACCAGTCTCTAGGCTCCTGTTAGCTCTGCAGTAATACTGCAAGACAACTTCTGTTTCTCTTATCAAACTAAGGAACTTTTAAACCAGTGTTTGTTCATTAGACTTTAAGGCCATTTTCAAGTTGGATTTCTTTTTTCTATATCAAAAGCTCACTTAACTATGAAAAGAAATCCAAATATGAGCTTGGATTTGGAAATTCCTATATTTTCATCATGTTTGAGTTTTTTTTTTCAATTTCATGTTAATATTCTATGCCTGCATTACATGTTTATGTTAAACATGTATTCCTGTGGAAATTCTACACTGGCTGTTTCTATGACAATGTTCGGGTACTGTCATTCCAACTATCATAGTAATCAAACCTTCAACTGTCAACAGAAGGTATGATTTTTAAATATAATTGGCAAATACAGATCCCGACAACTGAGGCCTAGGGTCTCTGAACTAATACCATCCTGGTGGAATTTGGCTTGACTCTAACTTAACATTCTTGGGTCTTTTTCAATCATTTTAATCATGCTCATTCAAATCACTGTTCAGTGAGAAAGCTTTTTAAATACAGTTATATTTCTTACTTCCAACATAAAACAAAGACAAGAACAGGAGCGAAGGATAGAGAAAAAGGAAGGATAAACTATCCCAAAGGATCAAATTGAAAAAGACTCAAGCTGAACTTACTAGATTGCTATGGACCAAACCCCAGCTAATATCATTGGGGATTTCATTCATTAAGTAGAATTCTATGACGACCATTTTCAGCTGTTATAGATTATCTGTGTCCTGGCTGTATGCCCATTCCCCTCTTTGAGATGTGTTTTGTTATTGTTGTTGTTTAGGCATGTATGTACAACATAGAACACATGCACACGCATACACACACAGGCACACACACACACACACACACACACACACACAGCTTTGAACAGTTTGTCTCCATATGAGAATTTTCTTCAGCCAGGAGAGGTAGCAAACACCTTTAGTCCCAGTACTCAGGAGGCGAAGGCAGACAGAGCTTTGTGAGTTCAAGGCCAGACTGGTCTACATAGTGAGTTCCAGGACAACCAGAGCACCTGGTGCTTCCATGGTGCACAACCCTTTCACAGGGTGTGCTTCCCAGACACCTTTTGTTTGAGACCCTGTCTCAAGCAAAACAAAACAAAGAATTGTCTTCAGGACTGGGACATACTCCAGCTCGGCCAGGCTGCAAATCAGGAAGCTCCAGATTCGTGAGAGACTATGTCTCTCACATACACACACACACACATACACAGAGAGAAACAGACAGACAGACAGACAGACAAATTATCTCCAGTATAAGCCACCCTTGCTCTTTGTAGATGTTAACCACAATACTATCAAGTTGAAAAGAGACAGAAGTTTCATGAAGGCTAATGAGCTACAGCTCGCAGATGCTAACTGAATATAAAATTCTAGGCCTCTTGTATTGCTATCATTGGGTAATTTCTAATTCATATCTGGACCATCACAAAGACTGATGGAGTCATAGTTGGTCTCCGATGCTCACAAATATAATTCCTGGTAATGGGAAACATCCAGTATCTACATGGTTGGCTGAAAATACCGTTTTCAAAAAGCCTAATTTATCCCCAAATTGTAGAAATATTTCAAAAAGGCATTTATTTGCATACAAGAAAGCATATGTCAGCGCAGTCAAGGTCTAAGTTGTGTTAGTGTGTGCTGATGACAGAGACGATGTGCTTCGTCCCCAGGACCATTGATTCCCTGTACAAGGAGCTGGTTGAAGAAGGCTTGCTGATCCAGGCTGTGAAGGTCAACCTCTCTGATTACATCGGTAAAGTACACCCCAACAGTCCTGCCTCTGTCACGTGGTGCCATGGGTGCTAGAAATACATTTCCCTTGTGTCTCTTTTCTAACAGAAGCCTGGTCACAGTGGCTGCTTGCAACCTCGGGGGTGCTGTGAACAAAGGGGCCCCCTGAATAGAATCAGTCCCTTATCATGGCAGAAGCTGCTTTTCCAGCATTAGCGGAATTCCTTGGCCAGTTCTTTCTGGCACAACCTGATGGGGAGAAATGAATGGTTCATGCGTTTGTGTCCAGACACAGTGCCCCGGGTGCTTCCACGGTGCAATAGCCTTTCACGGGGTGTTCTTCCCAGAGAACTTCTGGGGGTGGGGCGAGGTGGGAGGTAGAAGGGCAGAGTGGGATGGTTGTGACTACAGTCTTCAACTAAGGGCTTCTGTGATTTTTTTTTTAAATGAAAATTTACCTATTCTGACCTAAGACCATGCCCACTGCTTGGAATCACTCACAATTCTGCGCCCTTTTGGAGATGTTGAGCTTCCTCTGGCGAAGAAAACATCCCTGTGGTGGAGGACAGTCTCCATCAGAACCACAAAGACAGTCACCCTCAGAAAAATTGGAGCAGTACTGTTGCCTGCATGTGCGTGGCATGCCTTCCCACCTGTCCTGAATGTATTCGCCACAGCTGCTAGTCTTCCCTGGTCCCGAGGCCCATAGGGCACACAAGTAGCTGGGGAGCCCTGTCTGCTGCCACTCCTGTCTAGAATACCATCACTTCTGTCTTAGTCACGCTTCCTTTGCTGGTCGTGATAAACCCCACGACCAGAAGCCCCTTAGGGAGGAAAGGATTTATTTGGCTTACACATCAAGGTCACAATCCTACAATGATGGCAGTCAGGGCGGGAACTCAAGTCAGGGCCCTGAAGGCAGGACCTAGAGCAGGACCTAGGGCACAGGCCACGGAGAAGTGCTGCTCACTGTCTTGCTCCCCGTGGTTTGCTCGAGCTGCTTTCTTACATAATCCTGCCTAGGGGTGGCAGCACCAGCAGCAGACTGGGCCCTTCCCCACCAATTATTAATCAAGGAAACGCCCTACAAGCTTGGCCCTAGGCCAATCTGATGGAGGCGTTTTCCCAGCTGAGGTTTCCTCTCTCTAGCTTTGTCAGGTTGACAAAAACAGACCTAAGCAGCGCGCCTCCTGCTCTGAGCCGGTCATGAGACTTCTCCTTTCCGAAGGATCTGGGTTACTCTACAGGCTGCTCCTCCACTGGGTTTCGTCCTGGTTCAACGGTTTCGGCAGGCCAACTACAAGCATTACTGTGTCCTCGGGTCTCCCACTGGAATTACCTCTTTGTCTTATCTGGGGGCATTTAAGGTGAACTGTGTGGTGAAGGCAGTCCTCAGTCTTCTTGGAGAGCTTCCTTTCCCCTTGCAGCTGGTGAACAGTTTCTGCGGTGGGGCCTGGGGCTGTAGAGGGTATATGAGCATCTTTCCTACAAATGCCTGAGAATCTACTGGTGATTTTTGCCACCCAGATACCCTTACCTCTTCATCTCTCAGGTCACAGGACAGGCCTGTACATGCAGACGAGCCTCGCCTAACGTTCATTTGCTCCCAAGCTGAGCCTGGTTGTTGAGTTTTGATTATGGGCTCCTCTCCTGTGCTCTATGGTCTCACATGCTTCCTCATTATGCCACCACCTCATGACTTACTCTCAAGTTTTAAATTTTTGCATGTGTGTTAGCATATGAACATGCTTGTTTACGTGCGAGTATGCCACAGGCGTGTGGAGAGCTGAGGTTGACATCTGCTGTCTCCCACTGTTGCCCTCCACCGTATCTCTCGAGACAGGGTCTCCCATTGGACCTGGAGCTCACAGATGTGGCGGGCTAGATAATGAAGCCCCACACCCTCCCGAAGCTGCCTCCCCAGCAGACACACAGCACTGAGCCTCCACAGACTCAAACCCTCAGAACAGCTCTGCAAGCTCTTCACCCTCTGTGCCATATCCCCAGCTCCGGTTTCCTTAATCCAACTCAGCCCCCCTCCCCCCACCAGTAGAGCTGGACAGCATAGAAGGCAATTTTATAGTCCAGTCCTTCGCTTCCCAGCCTCCGATTGGGCCTAAAGCAGCCACCCAGCTGGAGGGGGCTTTGGTTAGTACTTTGATATCAGTCATTACCTTCCCAGGTCATTTCTGGTTTGAAGACAGGCCACCTCAAGTCCGAAGGTGTCCCTCATCGGAAAGCCAAGCAGACTGCCCACGTTAGGGGAGTGGTGGTCAAGTAAATGTGAGATCCTCTCAAGCACCCGCCGCCCACCGCTGGCGAGAGCTTCGTTCCCAGCATCACCCAGCAGTGAGAGTGAAAATGATGAGCTCTCACTCCTCCTCGGGGTCACTGGTTTTGACTTTATTTTCTTGGTTTTCTTAGCATTTTCACACAGAGGTGCACCTCCCTTCCCCCCTGGCCCTGGGTGACTCAGGTGTGAGAGACGCCTCCTCAGTGCCTGATTTTCCTGTGTGTGGACAGGAGAGCAGGTGCGTGGGCCAGGTCTCTAGGACTCCTCTTCCAAATGGGAGAGAGCAGAGACCTCATGTGCAGCAGGCTGCACAGCCCACACGTTTCAAAGACCAGAGACACAAACGCAGGTCCAGCAGGGAGTGCTCAACAACACTAGGCTGAGCTTTGGGAGCAAACCACACACTCCCTCTCCTGTTGTGACTGCCTTAAAACTCCAGGCAGCGTCTACACCACAGCAGGTGAGGGCTGCCCTTCCTGCTCTCAGCTCTGCCCCTGTGCAGATGCTCAGCTCCAAGCATTGGTCCTGTGCCCAGAAGCCCAGCAGCAGGCTGCTGGCCAGATCTCAGGTACACAAGAAACAAATTTGGCTTTGCAACCACTTTGAGGTCGGTGCTGTTCAAACACAGTGAGCCCATACCCCACCCCTAGGGGGCTGCAAGCTTCCAGCCCCAAGCTTTCACATGCAAAGCATTGGGCACTTCTGGGCACTTCTCGCATTCAGACTCCTTTGCCACAGTGTTAGGGCTGGATGTCTCAGTGCTTGGATCGGCAAGGCTGGTCTACTTCTGCCTCCTGGAATCCCTGTCCTTTTTCGGTTCTTCCAATGCCTCCATCTCTTCTTCTGTGGAATGGAAATGACAACAGCAGCAGTCTCAATGAATGGATGTCAACACTGAGTGAGTCACACCCCAAATTCTCAGCCCTTCATTGAGTGCTGCTCTGCTACCCTCTGCCAATGCTGCTGTCACCTTCATTGGTAGACTCAGGGTGTGGCTATGAGAAGGGCTGTTGTCTTTAGGGTGCTCTGCAGCCCCCTCCATCTCTCCCATCACATCTGCTCAGAGCACCCAGAGAGCCGGTCACCTACAAACAACTGGAGATTTTCCCGAGTGATCTTGGCACACCACGGCTCAGCAGCCACTATGCTGAGAAATGGACCAAAGCCCTCTTAATGCCGTCACCTTCTCCTCGGTGCTCATCGCCTCAGCTAAAGCTTGGAGATGTCCGCAAACTTCCAAAACTCCAGTCCTAGAGCTGTGGCAAATGCTAGCACTGCACACAGGCATGATCTTGCAACAGAGTTCACCTGGAGATGTTCTTGGGTCACTTGATCTTTGCACTCTTTTTGGAAACTGGGGAGCTCATGCCAATCACAAGCACACTTCAACATTTCCAGCAAGTTTGGATCCTAGCCTCCCCCGGGTGTGACTTTCTCTATATCCAATTTCTCCTTTCCTAGAAGGGCAGGGATCTTGCTAATATTCAGGCACCTGGTGGTCCCATGGTCTAAAAGCATCTTCCAGGTAAGGGCACATGGTAAGGACTCTACTTAAAGACTCCAACAAACAGATTGGACCAGTTCAGCCCGCCAAGTGTCCCATTTTTTTTTTCTTGCCCTGCATTTTCTAGCCCTTTTTCACACCCTCTATCTCAAATACCCTCTCTTCTTCTTTCATCTTCTGTCCCCCTTCTGGAAGACCTCGTGCTTGTGCAGGGGAACCAGAACTTTCTGTGCTCCGACTCTGTGGATGGGAAAGGGATAATGGCTCCCATTCTGGTCAGTCGTAAAACACGGAGACATGCTTTCAGAGTGAGGCTCGTAACTTGGCAAACAGCCCAGGCCAGTTGGATCCTTCTCTCTATCAGAACCAACACCCACTAATTTAATTTAATATAATTTGTTTAAATAAAATCTGCTAGGTTCCAGAAAATATGGTCCGCCTGGATATTAATATGCATTTACATAAGCAAGAAAATTGAGGTCACTTTCACAGCCCCTCTAATGTCATGTTTACTGGCAGTAAGTGCTAGATTTAACGGTTGCTACAGGGTCTCTTTCTCTTCTGGTAGAGGCTAAATTAACCATTCTGCTATTTATTACCTGCTTGTTAAAACGCAGGAGTCTCTGGATCCATAATGGAAGTGTCCACTATCATTCATTCCGCCAACCAATACCGCCGTCCTTGCCAAGGACTTCTTTTTTTAATGCTGAGAATTTGGAAAGCTGCCCTGCACAAGACAGCACCAGTCTCTCTAATTTCCTTCACGTTTGGAAATGCTATAAGCATTGGGTATCTTTAGCATTTCACACAGGAATGCGCTCTTTGTGATGACAATCCCCCCCACACACACAAACACACACACACACACACACACACACACACAATCAGTGAGGTCAGTGCACACCTGAAGTAGGAAAGAAAGCAGCTGTAGGGACAATCAAATGCCCTGCCTCATTCTGGGAGTATTCTCAGTACCCTTTCAGAAACAGATCACAGGACTCCCAGCAGTACATAAAGGTCCATCCTGTGACAAATGGAGACAGCCAAACTAATTTTCTTGGTGACCTTATCTAAATGAGTTAGAAAATAACACTTTGGATTTATGGCTAGTTACAATTAAGCCCTTTGATATCTTTAATTAAACCTGTAGAGATTTATTTCCATATTATTCCTTTGGTAACCCTTTAAAAATGATAAAAATGTAAATTAATATTACCCTCAACCAGAGATGTTTCTATTTATCCTGAGTTAGACTCAGACCCTTCCTTTCACACTGCACTGCTCGGCACACATCCTGCATGGATCTTAAATAATTTATTATGAAACTTTCTGCCAATATTAGACATAATCTTTTAGAGTCTATAGAAAATCCTGTAACATTTCAGCTTCTTAGTATGGCACTCAAGACCTTATCTCACTTCGCACAGCCCAAGCCTTTTTTTGGGGTGGGGTGGGGGGAGCTTTGCACTATAAAGCTGAGGATCAACCCACCACACGGGAGATTATTTAATAGTTAATGTAACTTGCCTTTCATTAGACCTGGCATACCTATGCTTTCTTGCCTGGTTTTTCTTCAAGCCTTATCTAAGAAAAGGTGGATTCATTTTGTGGCTGTGACAAAAAAGATTTTTTAAAAACCCCTCTGACCAAAAGCTACTTGGGGAAGAAAGAGATTATTTGGTTTACACTTCCAGGTCACAGATCATCACTGACAGAAGTCAGGGCAGGAACTCAAAACAGGAGCATGGAGGAAGGCTGCTTGCTGCTTGCTTTTCTGGCTTTTGTTCGCTTACTCACCCATGCTTAGCTCGCTTTCTTTATACAGCCCAGGACCACCTGCCTAGGGGTGGTGTTGCTCACCACGGGCTTCCTACAGCAACTAATAGTCTAGACAATTTCCCAAAGACATGTTCACAGGTCAATTCATTGGGCAATTCCTTGATAAAGGCTTTGCTCTCGGATGACTCTAGGCTGTATCTGATTGGTAGTTCAGTGACTAGGGCAGACATGCCCTTCATGGTGGCTCTTCCATGCTGCACTTGTGTCCTCTGATCTTTTTCAGACCAGCTTGGTTCCCCCATTCATTCATCCATGTTTCCTTCCTCCCCAGGTGAGTACAGCTACCTGGGGACAACTCTGCGCCAGGTAGCCATAGAGCCCATGCCATCCCTCCTGGATGTCAGACAGCTCATCACCCTCTACGGAATCTTGCCTTTGGGTAAGGACCTGACTGTTCCCTCAAGCTGGGACAGCAGCCTCCCCTCTCACTTTGATGGTAGCTCCTGTTTGACACCAAAAGTACTTTTCGCTTTCCCAGCTGAGACTAAGAAGCCTTGTCTCACTTCCATAGTGCACACCCAGCACAGAAGGGCATGGTGGGAAAGGAGCGTCAGCACTGTCTTTGGGTCTGGTTTGCATCACAGCAATCAGCTGGAGAGAGGTGGTCCTTGAGCTGAGCCCACGTGCTAAGATGGCTGCACTCCTGCACACACTCACTCATTCTGTGGCTGGGCCCTGAGCAGAGCTCTTTGAAAACGGTGGACTATCTTTTCTGGATATCAAGGGACCTCTCCCTCTCCCCCAGCTCTCCTGATCTCTCCTAAAATCCCCTCTCACTGCTGAAAGAGTTCCATCACAGTTCTTCAGACACAGCTCTAGGGTATGTCTGGGGATGCAGGAAAGCATGTAGCCCCTTCCTTCCCTCTGCCTGGTGGCTGCCTCTGGGGGGCAGAGCTCTGCCAGCCACTCTGAAACTAGAAATGATCCTTGTTTCATCTGCCTCAATAACTCTGTCCCACTTTGACTTAAGAACTTAAGCCTGTTGGCAAGAAAGCCTTAAATCCCGTCCTTGACATTACGTCAGTAGTAGTAAATGTAATTTGGGAGCAGCGTATATGTTCAGGTACGAAATTTCATATTGCGTCTCATACAGATAGAACATATTGGAGCACATGATTTAATGTCAACAAACTCAATATGTAGTATCCACAGGGCCAACTTACTAAGACACATGGAGCCTCACACCTTATTGTAACACGATGGGACACAAAACGCAAGGAGCCAGTGGGTGTGTAAGGAACTCATCCTGCTTGAGTGTATGCTACAGTTGTTCCCTTGGCTTGCAAGTCTCTGGTGTGCATGGTTTTCCATTCTGCTTCATAAGCCTTCCTTCCGGGAAGCATCCTGCCCCGCTCCTATCTCCCCTCAACCCTTTGTCATGGAGGGCCCCTCGCACATCCCTTATTACCCTACCCCACCCTATCCCCATCCCTCTCCACTCCCTACCCTGTGCTGTCATCAACAGCTGCCAAGCCCTCCTGGCCGCAGACTCAGCTGGAGAGTTTGTTCTCTTGAGAGAGTTTTATGTCACCTGTCAGGAATGCAGACACAAGTAAAGCAGATGAGCTGTGTGCGCAGATATGCCTTCTGGCATTTCATCTAAATTTCACATGTCACCTCCAGCTGCAAGTAAAAGCAACCTGGGGAGATGCTGGCTGCTGCCAGCACAATTCCTGAGGCCACTTGCCTCCCTGTATTCACAGGGGAAGCCTCAGGAAAGTGGTGTCCTGTTACAAAAGGAAAGAGGCAAGGTCTTAGGGAGCACCGACTGTTCCAATCACTTTAGTGGTGGCCACTGGCAGGAGCCCACGTAGGCCAGTTTCCACAGGTGGTCATGAAACAGACCCCCACCCTAAGTGACTAGTATCAGGGTTGAGGCTCCCTAAACCCCTCAGGGTATAAGAGAAAGTTCAGGACAAGTTCAATAAGGTCCTGGAAGATGGGGGGGAGGGGTGAGAGGGTCTGGGGAGGGTGCTTTCTTGAGTAGATGTGGGTCATTGTCTTAAGGTTTACTTCTCTGGTTACTTAACCCTCCAGAGCCCTACGGTTACCTCCAGATGGTATTCAAGTTAGGGAGGGCAGAAATGGAGTCAGGACCGAGAACACAAGCCCTCTGTTACTCTGCAGTCCTCCAGACATTAGACAGATGCTACAGCCAAAGCTACTAGAAGTGTCCCGAATCTCTAGGCCACTCCATTTGAGTGAAACCTCCTGGATTCCTGGGTTAGCTGGGTCCCAAGCACAGGGACCTTCCCTGGACCACCCTCTTCACCTCTGAGTGGTTTGGGTGATCCCTGCCTAGAAAAGTGACATCTGACATTCACATCTGGCACACTTTCCCAGACCTCTGTCCCTTGTCCAGATCCCACTCACCATGCTGTCCTTTCCTTCTGCCACCCCTTCCCAGACCTCTCCCACCCCTGGCCCTGGCAAGCACTCTTGGCAAGCTACAGTTCCCATTCAACTTTCAGACACCCAACTACTGTCCCCAGTCTCCCCCACCGGCCCCATCACTGCCTGCCTCCTGACACCTCACTGTTCCTTTAAGACCAAGCTGATTGGCCACTGTGCCTGCAGCACTGAGATCCTTCTCAAACACTGCTCCTGGGATCACCTTCTCCCAAGTCCCACATAGATGTCCCCTTCTCTCAGGGTCCAGCTGAGGCCCCTAGCTGAATTTTAGCTTCCCCAACATCTATGGCTCTTGAGTTTAAGCACTTTTGCCTCCCCATGGGAGCTCTGAGGCTCGGCCACATCCTGATTTTCCATTGCAGGTTCACCTTCTCAGGGCTCAGTTCCTTCTCAAGACTTTTCCACATTTAAAACTCAGCCATAAGAGCATGCAGGGCTTGCCAGGGCCACCCCCAAAGCATCCTTCCATAGCCAAGTATGAAAAAGGAAGAAAGGCCTCTTTCTCCAGCCACCAAAAAAGTACCTCCTTCATTGTGCCATGTTGCCGTAGCCCCCAATGACCACAGACAATGCACACTTGTATGTGCCACTGGAAAGAATATGGAGAATGGTGAACAACTGTAAAACATGTTTCTGGCTGCCACTCAATTCCCTGTATCTTTTCAATTCTTAATTCTACCTGAAAGGAAAGCATAAATTCTATTGAGCCAGGCGTGATGGCACGTGGTCGTGATCCTAACATTAGAAAGGCAGAGGAAAAGGATCAGGCCATCCTGGGATGAGACTCTGCCTCAGATTTTATTATTAATATTATTATCATTATAGTCACATATTAATAGCCAAGACATAGGCACCCAGGGTCACCAAAACCAGAGCCCCTTGAGGACAGCTGCTGTCCTCACCACACTGACAGGCACTGAATTCTGTGCATCTTGTACCTGCTGAGTACCCACTCTGTTCTGCCACCCCAGCCCTGGCCCCGTATTAGAGAACACCTGGCCTGAGGTACAGACTGTGTGGGCGAGGACATAGGAACAATGATAATCCAAGCTGCTTTATTGCCAAGTGCCAGGCGACCCTCTCTCCTGACAGTCTGGGGCCAGCTCCGGAGGAAGACCTTCAGCTTTGCTCCCAGGCCCTTGGCCTTTCCCTCTGTCTCATACACTTCAATACAGAGTAGAAAAGAAGGTTCCAGGAATATGAACACGTTTTAGCCGACTTCATTGTCTGTCTCTCTGCATTCCGTTCCCAAGCTGTCAGAGGATTTAGTGAGGCTGTTGACAGATAGAGAAACCCCACAACCACCACCACCCAAAAGGAAAAAAAAAAAAAAAAAAAAAAGCAGGACCAGGGGAGAAAAGCTGCCCTGGAGGAACCCAGAGGCCCCAGAGCCTCTTCCGGCAGAAGGTGAGCCTTGAGCTTGACCTGTGTTCATCATGGCCACAGAGACCCCTTCCCACAGTGCAGCCTCAGCCCGAGGCACCCTAGCACAGGGGCCTCTGCTTCTCTTGGCAGCACCCAAGAGCACTGGCCTCTGTCTTCTCCAGGGTCTGCAGAAGTGCACGAGAAAGCTCCCTTGGTGAAGTCTCTGCTGTTGGCTGGTCCCCCAGGGGTAGGGAAGAAAATGCTGGTCCACGCCATCTGCACAGAAACAGGCGCTAACCTCTTCAACCTGTCTGCCTCAAACATCGCCGGAAAGTACCCTGGCAAGAACGGCCTGCAGATGATGCTGCACTTGGTCTTCAAGGTACGCGCTGGGGCTCTCCCTCTCCCTCTCCCTGCGGCCCCTCTCCCAGACCCTCAGACACACTCGGCTTGGACCCCCTTTGCATCCTCCCGGAAGTGAACTCATTTTCACATCTGGCTGAACATCCCACAGCTAGAAACAGCTTCTGTGGAGCATAAACACCCTACTGTGCTGCCCAGACCTGACTCCTGTGGCCTCAGGGCTCCTTGCTGAGATGCCTGTCTGTCTCCTGGAAAATCAAACCCACGTTTTACTTCCTCAGCTCGTCTCACTGTCCTAATCAGCTTGCATTGTTTCTCATGTGGTATAAATTATGACACCCCATCACTCTCTGAGCGCAGCCTCTTCCAGCTGGGCTGAAGGAGGAACCGACAGGGAGCTAAGCCAGCACAGGAAGGTAACAGACAAGGATGACACAGGGTCAGGCAGCATCTCAGAGGAACAAATGCACTGCCAGCTCTGTGACCTTAGTTAAGTTCCTAACAGCCCCTCTGGGTCCCATCACCAGAAGACCGGATCCTAAAGAACTCAGATACGAATCTTTTGTATGTGATAGGAAGATTTTACAAGACGTAATTTCGATCTGGCCGAGTAGCGTGAGGTTATCCCCCCACTGGTCAGCCCACATGCAGTTGTTACAGTGTCAGCTTTGACTATAGAAACAACTGTGGCCGCACACACTCTCCAGGCTGGGCACCAGCCAAGCCTGTCTTCTCAGAGCTGGAAAGTATGGGGATAGAGGGGTCACTGAAACAGGAGCGAAGTGGGTCACCTAGGGGTGCTGACCAGTGAGTCTCAGGTGAGTGAAGACAGCAGGAGGTTTTGATCCCTCAGCCACCTCTCACATTGCACCCTAGAGACTGTTGCTCTCCCCTTCTTTCACGACTGTCACAAGGAACCCTACGGCACAACGCTGTTAACAGGCGCCTATCCGGTGTGCTCTGCTCGTATGACTCCTCTCACAAAAAATATCTCCTCAGGACCTTGTCTACTTTGTGTAGCTGGATGAGTGAGTGAGTGTGTTTTTGTTTACATGTGTGGGACGAACTTATGTAAGTAGGGGTAAGCATGTAGGTGTGTGAGTGCATGTGAAAGCCAGAGGTCAGCCTTGGGTGTCATTCTTCAGATACCGTCCACACTGCTTTAAGAGGCAGTGGGAGCACTGGTCCGCACTCACCAAGTAGGCCAGGCTGGCTGGCCAGCAAGCACCAGAGAGCTGCCCATCTCCAGCTCCCCAGCCTTAGCATTAGCAGCCCACACCAATGCCCAGCTCTTTTCAGTGGGAACACCCAGGGATCAAACTCGGGTCTCCATGCTTACTCAGCAAGCACTTCACCAGCTGAGCCATCTCGCCAGCCCCTCACTGCTTACCTTCCATAGGATATTGGCCTCTGGGTTTGGTGGAGTTGTTTGTATTTCCTGGTCCTCACCATGCATGAATGGTAAGCGTCAGCACTTCCTGAGCACCTGTCCACCCCCAGACAGTCTTGTGCACACTGCTTGGGCATTCGTGCTGGTTAGTTTGAACTGTCAAATTGATACAACATAGAATCACCTGGGAAGGGAGTCTCAAAGAGGAACTATCTAGATCAGGTTGGTCTATGGGGATTGTATGGCTTGTTAATCGACGTAGAAAGTTATAGTCCACTGTGGGCAACACCATTCATGAGGCAGGAGTCCTGAACTCTAGTAAAGAGATGAAGCTGAACATGAGCAAGCGAGAAAGCAGCATGCACTCACTCCCCTCTGCTCTCGACTTTCCTGCTACGATGGACTGCAGCCTAGAAGCCTACACCAAATTTTTCCTGCCCTATGTTGCCCCCACCCCAGCTGAAGTCCAAACCCAGAGCTTCCACTTGCTAAGTAAGCATTTGACCACTGAGCTAAACTCCACCCCCACCTTGCAGTGGTGGTGCGCCCCTTTAATCCCAGCACTTGGGAGGCAGAGGCAGGCAAATCTCTGTGAGCTTAAGGAAAGACTGGTGAGTGAGTCCATGACAGCCAAGGCTACACAGAGAAACCCTGTCTCAAAAGAAACCAAAACAACAACAATAAAACCCAACACCCTCTTGCTTCTAGCCCTGATATTTTCTCAGCAACAAATATGAAATGAAGACCGCATTCACTTCTCACAGCAGCCTGTGCGCAGGGCACAAAGTGCGAGAATAGTGGCTTTGCTGGGTCTTCGTGCCCTGTGACACCACAAAGTCCAGCTGGAGCCTCCAGGTTTCACCTAAGCTATGAATACACACATGCCCAGGTCACTTCACTCAAAACGTGGCTCCTGGTGTGGCTCTCGGAGAGCGAGAGCCCTTGTCTTGATAACAGATAAGCAATCGGTACACTTACTAGAATTATCACAGCCTGCCATTGTGTGGACAGGAAATGCTAGATGTCATGATATTAAAATGTAGAACAACACATCATCCACCTAGGGCGCCTGACACACACCTCATTAAGTTTCACCTTTGTTGTGTATGTAGCTGATTAATGAAAGACCCAGAAGTCTCAGGAGTGAGAGTCATTCAATTAAAAACTGCTCCAAGAGGCCACTGTGCTTCGGCATGACTGACAGAGCAGCTATCTGCATTTAATTAACCAGAGGAAGGCAGGATTAGGAGCCCCCTTTAGAGTGGAGAGCAGGAAGCCCGAAGGCGTGGCTCTCTAGCACCCAGAAAGCCAGAGGGTATAGGAGTCAGGTCACGGGCTCAAGGGCAGCAAGGCTGGCTCTGCGGGATTTGCTCAAGGTGAATATCAGCAAAACAGCAAGATCTTATTACCCAGCATGCCTCGTGTGACTAATCCCTATGCCTTAATTACCCTTTGGAGAGAAGCTGCAACCGCTATGCTCTCTTGGCCAGCTGGGGGCGCTCAGTCTCCCACACCACCCTGAAAACTGGGTGGACAACAAACCTCTGATTTGCTTCACAACCATAGCTTCAAGTCCATTTTGTCACCATTGCTCCTGAAGGATTCTTGGGTTTTACACATGATAGTAGGGTGAAGGGTTTCTTTAAGATGTTTGCGGTATAAATGGGAGCAACTGTTATTTCAGATTCTCTGTCCAATTGGGGTAAGATGGAGAAAAAGATATTACCTTTAGGAAATATTAGAAATTACTCATCTGATCAATTAAACTTTCCTTGTACCTCCAGCTCCTGGTGTAGACAGGGAGAACTGAAACACCAGGAGATGGGGGTGGAAGGGGGTGAGAAACAGGGAGAACATTTATCTTCAAAGAACCAAGGAAAACCTGAGGGGACAGAGCTAGGAGAGAGGCATGGGGGAGTCCTAAGCAGGACCCAACTCTGCAGGTGCCTTGATCTCAGACTGGGAGCCCCAAGAATTTCTAACAGTACATTTCTGTTTCAAGTAGGCAGGCGGGCAGGCAGGCAAACAGAACAATTGATTGCTTTCATATATGAGGGACACTGAATACGTATGCTTGGGCAGAAGGGCTATGTCCTCAGACTCCGAAGGCACACTCTTTGGACTCTTATGACAGTAAGTCAGAGGCAGGAATCTGAAAGCGACTTTTGGAGATATCTAACCAGAAATGAGGCACACACAAAGGAGTTATAATACTGTTCTCTCTAATTGTGCCCAAATCCAATAAGGTGGAAAGTCATACCCCGAGAACTAGAGCGCTGGATTGTAGACCTAAAGCCAGGCCTGACTCCAAAGCCATGGTGTTGGCTGCATCTGGGCCTCTAGTGGGGCAGAACCCTTGAGCCAAAGCATCAGCTGGGAACATTCCAGCTATGGAGTCCTCTGAACTTGCTCCCACGAGATTCTCATCTTTCTAAGCTCTCCGATTGTTCCTCCCACTTCCCTCTTCTCATAAGAAGATCCTGACTCTTCAAGCTTCTCCTTAGAGACTCAAGGGAAAGCAGAGCTCAAAGAGCAAGTGAAGCAGAACCCACCAGCCTGCACCTGCCCTCAGGGGAGATGTTGGCTCTTTCCTGATGTGGCTCTGTTCTTCCTCCTTCTGCAGTGACCCAGCCAAGGGCTAGCACCGGAGTGAGGTCCTAGGAGAAGGACCTCTGCTGCTCTGCAGATGGCTGCTCTGCAGGGGGGAGGGGGGATTTGTCACATCTAGTGTAGCCACACTAGCCTGCAGCCAGCAAGCAAAGGATGCACAAAGCTCTTGTGCCCAGTTCCTTACCCAGGAGAGGACCTTGCCCAGATGTGCTGGTGTACAAGGCTTATGCCACAGTCCCAAGAGGAGCCGGACAGCTCTGCCCTCCAAGGATGAGTGGGACTCCAGAGAGAGAGAGAGAGAGAGAGAGAGAGCATCAGACTGCCAGCACCTGCGCTGCTGGCAGGGTGTGAGGGAGCACACTATGGACAGTGAGTCCCTGAGCATAGGATTGAGGCTACTGATTATATGAGGGGAGAGGAGCAGACCGGTGGCCAGGCTTGGATAGGATGCTTCCCCACCCTGGAAACACTTAGGGGAAGATGAGGTATTGGGTAGTTAAACCCGCCCTGGAGAGTTAGTATGCCTGAGTACTCAGCCCACATACACCCTGTTCTTCCCAAGTAGCCCCAGCATTGGGGCAGCCTGTGGTGAGCCCTTCAGCCCTTGTGGAGCAGGGCATGGGATGGGAGGACAGGACTCTCAGCACCCAGTCACTGCATGTGTGAGCACAGCACCCCTCCATCTGGGCTCCTTCCCCTTCCATACAGCATCAGCGCCACTGTGTCCCGTTCCTGTTAGCACTGGCCTGCCCCCAACACACTGCCCATCAGAATGAGCAGCCCTTCTCGTGAGTCCCTGCATCCTAGCCCTCTTCCCTCCCTGCCTCAGTTTACCTCCTTTTCATCAGCTAGGCTCCCAGTTTTAGGATACCTCTGTTCTTTTTGTTGGTTATCCTTTTCAGTTTCAAAACTAAGTTAGCCTCTTGCTACAACTTGAAATCGCTTCCTTGATTGTATAAAATGTAACACAAGAAGACAGCAATTAACAGTAAAATGTTAAAATGATGGGGTGCAGAAGG